TTGCTGTGCCATACCCATAATCCCAGGATGACTTTGCCTTAGGCACCACCCAGTATAACTCTGTTGCAATGGCTCATGTCATGTCATGTCATTTTCTTTTATTTCTCCACCACATTGACACATATGCACAGATTCAACTTTGCCACTCTCTACCTCTTAGTGATCATTTGCAGCGTTTTGAGTTTTCTAAACCAAAGTCTCAAAGTGTGTAAATAATTACTGTTTAATGTTGGAAGTGAGTTAGACTGTGCCCTATTTGCTTTGGCCCTGAGCACTAGAGACAAAGCCTGTGCCTCTGAGACTGGAATGTGTGCAGAAACAATATTGTGAAATAAAAACATAATAATTTCATGGCTTATTCTTAAATCTATTGAAATAACAGTGGGTTGTATGTCGGGCACTATATATGAGAATAAGAGGTGCTTCTGTCTTTTACAAAAATATACGTGGTAGAGTTTGGTATTCATACTGACTGTTGCTGATGTTATGGTTACAGTTGTTGTTTCCAGCTTAAGAAATTGTGTGTGTGGGGGGGTGGGGTGAGGTGAGGTGATGACAAAGTATGTGAAGCATGCATTCAAAATCTTACATTTTAAAATTCAAAAGAGAAATCAAGTTATTTCATGTAACCTAGGCATCTTTTGCAATTCAGCAAGATCTGGTGCAGTGTGGGCATTGTTAAGAAGTCTTTAGAAAATCTTGTCTTGTAAATACACATTTTGTCCTAAGTAGAGGACTCATTCATGAGTCATTTTGTTAATGATAACTCTGTGTCAGTTTGTGTGTAGTAATTTCAATGCTGTAATCATATGGCTATGTCATTGTTTGTTTTGTGGTGCCTTTCCTTCACTGTTATCCTGAAATGTAGAGCAAAAACTGGCGAGAGACAATTTAAACCTTTTTTTTAAAGCAAACTATAGAATGACAACGTAAGATAGGAAAAATACAAGAGATTTGAATGGCTACCCTTTCGCAGAATTGTGTAAGCATTTATGCAAGCCACTTATTGTGTATGGGTGTCAGCTGGGTATAGTGAGGTGCGTCACTTGCCTTGAACAGTCGGTGCAGTTTTCTCTAGTGTTTTTACTGCATAGAAAATGAAGCAAAATCTTGAAAGCTATGCCAACAATGTTACATTATGTTGTATTTAGTATGAGCCATATGTTATTTAAGCAAACACAAAAAATATTTTCTCAGTCACTGTTAACTTTGACAGTATAAACACTGTTTCAAAGGCATTGACTGCTGTTAAAGTGTATGTGATAAATCTAGATGGATATTTAATGTAAACGTCTTATGTAAACATCTTATGTGTTTTCATTATTTAAGCATGTCATCAGAGCCCTCTGTGTGAAGCAGTGGGTGGTCCCACGGCTGCTGAGGACCACTCCCTCACACTAGTTCCCTCCACGGCATTCCCCTCCCTCTGCAAACCAGGAGCCCTACCCAGCTCCCTGTCAACCACTCTGCTCAGCCAAGAGGAGCAGGCACTCACAAAAAAAAAAGGAGTTAAAGTCAACTCATAGGAAGGAGGGAGAGAAAACGCCCTGGAAACTTGGTTGATCGAGAAGTAGGAAAGGAGTGACAGAATCCTAATAAACTGCAAAGTTGTGACTGGAAGAAGTGCTTTTCTTCGGCTGAGGAGAAAGGAGAGGACAAGTTTTCAAGGATGCTCAAGGTGGATTGAGGCTTCTTGGGCGCAAAGATTGCGCACAGGTAAAGATATGCTTAGAAAAAACTCTGATTTAAGTCTATGTGTTTTTATTAATACTGTTTCTGAACTTTGTGCTTTGTTTAAAACTTAATTATGCTGCAAAATAGCAATTCACTTTCGATACATCGGCCAAAGGTTAAAACGCTAAGTTGTAAAAACTTCCTGTAATACTGCAACAGACACTTGTAGTGAGCCTGTGTATCAGTGGTAAAATTGCTGTTTATCTCTAGTGTTATCTTATCTTGTGGTTTTTTCTTGACGGAAGTTTAGCTGTGGTGTTCAGTTGGATGCAGTGCAAACATGTGGAATATTACTTTAGTTGTTCTGTGAGAGTAAAGTGGCTGTAGGCTTGTGTCAATGTCCTCATAAGTTTCAAATGTTGATTTAAAATAGTGCTGGACATAAGAAGTGGGTGTGTACCCAGGGTCGCCACATGAATGCAGAGGACTTAACTGGAGTTGCGCACTTCACTTTTCCTTTAACTGCGCACAAAGGCTGTTATCCTAGACGCATAAAGGTGCTTAACTCTCTTTAAAAATGAGAGGTAGTGGCTAAAATTGCTCTTCATCTTTGTGGTTATTTGAATATTGTGCAAGATGGATGCTCTTTCCATATTTATAATCTCTAGTTAGAGGATTGTAAACTTTTTCAGCACTGAAATATTCCAGTTTAATGGAAGAAGTGTCAGGTTTTGTGTTTTGATGCTATTGTTCAGGTGTTTGCCTTTTCTGTCCAACACCCTTTTGCTGTGACTTGGAAGTTTAAAAAGTAAAGGTACTTCCCTGTCAGAGCCTGCAGCAACAAGCTTGGGTGTGGATTCCTCTCCTCTACCTCCCTCCACCTCCTCCCTTTTTCCTCCCTCTCTTCTTGCCTTGCTGTCTTCTCGCAGAGGCACACCCTTAACAGCCAAAAAAAAAAAAAAGAACAATCCTATGTGTGCCGTGGGCAAATGTCACCGTGGATCCCTTGAAGCACATCCAACTATCCTTCATGGGGTGTCCAGGGGGGTCCATGAAATCATAACACTTTTCTGCCTATCCATGATGTTGGAGGGCCATATAGAACAATGAAAACTGCATATATTAACTATTGTGGTTTGCATTTGCATTTGGTGAAGTTGTATGAAGGTTATAGGTATGATATAAATCAGTTTACTGTTTTTCCAGCTACTGTTATGTAAGAGAAAGTTTGAAAACCGCTGCCTTGTGCTGAGGCGTGTATGGATTTTCATGACGTACTTTTAAAGTCTTGGTCAGAGAGCGATTTCAGTTTTTTAAATTTACTTTAGATCTTTTAATGTGGACTGCTGGCCAGGGCGTGCAGGGGAGGGCAACGAGGGAGGAAAAGGGGAAAGGAGAAGGAGGGAAGAAAACGGGGGAGTCAAGGAGTGGGTTAGTGAGGGGGGATGGGGATGAGGAGGGGAGTAATATATTTTAAAACATCTTTCTACTTCTGGTTCAAACTAGAATCATCACATATCGTCTGGTCTGTGTCTGACACAATGTGTTTCTTCAAGTTGAGGGAGAAGCAGATAAAAATCCAGACCAGACATAATGCTATGTGAAGTCTTGGTTGAAAGTCAAATTTCTCTGGTGGCAGTTGCCTGTCCTCCACAGCTCCCTCTTGCCACACCCAAAAGTCATTTCAGTGCAGAGAAGGGCTGTGCTTTGCTCCGCTCTGCACAGACTTAACCCATGTTGAGTATCCCACAGCTGTAAAGCTCTGGCATTTCTCAAATTGCTCTTGTCAAGGTGGATATGACGCAGACTGCTCAAAGAGCCAAATGGTGACACAGGGTTAAATGGTTGTTGGGCAGTAGGCATTTAAGCTATAATATGTTCATATGTGTTTTTAGAATTTCAGCAGTTCATGTTTTGCTTTTTGATAATATAGTGCAAAGTGTATGTTACTACAGGTGTAGAGTTTTGCTGCAAACGGGGGCATAGACTTATACAAATAATAAACATGGAACTTGTGTTTCAAGCGTGAAAACTTTCAGAACTGGTTCCTGACTGCCTGCAGCTAAAACACATGCCAGTTACCAGGGCCTCAGTTTGGACTGGGGCGGATACAGTTTGTTGAAATCGAAACGTGTACTTTATACCACTGAAGCAGTACAGAGGCTGTATTATGTTGTCACCTAAAGTAATGTAAGGTATTTCTAATTTCAAAAAGTCATTGGAGCCAATAATCTGTGAGTACCACTCATGGAGATTTTGTTGCATTTGCTACTCATATGACAGCAACCTCATAGCCTGAAGAAAAGGACATGTCTCATGACTGAATCTTAGCTTAACCACATCAAGATATTCCATCAGAGTCACTATGTATTTTTGCCCTGTTGACGAAAAGGACCGATGAGAGGAGTGGTGTTAGTCAGCCATGCCACTGTGAAATGGAAAGAAACTGCTCTCTAGCACACTTCCTCTTCCATTTCCTCATGGGCTTGTTGAGTGGGTGGTTGGGACAAGGGACAGAGAGATGTAAAAAGAGGGAGGTAGATGTAGTGACGAATTTGGAAAAAAAGGGGAGGTTGGTTGCAACTGTAGCTTGGCATTCTGACATCCTGAAGTTCCAGCAAACTCACTGAAGTCACACCCCTAGGTTAAATACAACAAAAGTACCTTTGCAGACAAACAACCACTTGGATGAAAGAAGTTAAAATCTTCTCCTCCTGCAAATGAACACCTAAGCGTAGTCTTTCTAGTCAATCCGTCCAGAAGCCACTCCCTTCTCATCCATTAAACGCTGGTTTGGAATGTTTCAGCATGTCCTTGATGAGCTCTGCGGAGTGACTATCATTAGCATCACTTGCCTTGTTGTTGAGAAATACTGATTTAAAGGGTATGATCAACAGTCAGCACAAGTCACATAATACCTGTGTAAGTCACACCTATGCAAATGGATGCAGCTTAGACTTCCTTATTGTAGCTTTAAGCCTGGTGGGACTTAATGCAAGCATGGAATTTGAAAAGGGTGTGAATAATTTTTTTTCTGATAAGCCAGTAACTTTCTACAGCTCTGCCAACCATCTGTTATACAAAACTATACAAAAACAATACCTCCTACATAACTGTTGCTTTACTGCACAGCCTATCTGATCTGCACCCCAATCACTGCAAGCAATGTTTCCCTGCACAAGGAATGTCTTGCAACATCAAAAAGTCTTTTTGGAATGAGGCACCAAAATATCAGGGCACCAGGGCTTGGAATGTAAATTTAGGCTTTCTTTATCTGGCACAAGATGTCCAAGGATGGTACTCCCCACAGTTCAGGACTCTCTTTTGTTCTAAACAACTCAGCACTATTCTTGTGTGGCATAAGTAGTAAGAATAAATTATGCTTCAACTTCCACCACTAAGGAAGTCTTATATGTATATGTTCTGCTGCTATGGTTGCCGTCTATCCCTCTTCTTAAATGTCTTGCCTCCTGCTCTGTGAATGAAGTTGCATTTGTTCTTGTTCACAGACTGAAACAAATCTTGACAAAATTGGCAATGAAATTCATTTGAAGTTGGGCAGTTAACAGGGTTGCTATGGATGTGTGTAAACCTCACATAATATCTTATTTATGTAACAGAATTATGTGAACTTCAGTCTCCTTTGTCTCTTTCACTCTCTCTTTCAGGTGGAACTAGTTTTGCAGGTTTTAAATTTGCATCCTCAACTAAGTCATTCTGTATGTCTTGGTGGAGAAGAAACATGGCTCTACTTCTCTTCATCTTATGTTTTTTTTTATTTTTTTTTTACTTTGTTAGTTGATCAGTGTTCTGTGCTCTGAAACTGGCCCAGCCCAGGTTCACTTCCCATTTCAGAACTTCAGCTATTTTATTTTTGCAAAAACATTACTACTGTGTTCTTTTAAATATAAAGCCTTTTTTGTAAAGCCCAGTATAACAAAATGACTCAGTGTAATATAAAGGCCTGTTGGTGGTGCAGCCTAAGGTCCTAAAAAGACTAAGAAATACTCCCCTTAAAGCCTTAGTGCATTAGGAAGAAATGGAAGAAACCCCAGGAGAGGAAATTTCAAGTAAGACCCTCCCTTGGATGTCCTAGGGTGTAATAGAGAACAATGAGTAATGATAGGAACCCTGAGTTATCTGGCAAGAATCACTTGATACACTATAGAACATTTCCGTTTACTATAATTTACTCAAAAACCAAGACATGGCTAACACATACTCTCAGTGCAACCCCTGTTTTGTTTGTGTTTTTGTAAAAGCATGAGAAGAGGATTTTGAGTTCTCTTTAGTTTCTTTGTTTGATGAACAACTCCCGCCAAAGTCATGATGGTTTAATCAGCACCAGGCCATGTAGGCGTCAGTGAGCAGGCTTTGTGTCTTCTGCAGGACTTGCGGTTTGGTTTTAGGCCTATGTTGTCTATGGAATGCAGAAAAGCACCGTTTATTCTGATGTGTGTTCCTTTTTACTGCGTCACACATTCCTGTCCTATCTGCATGTTTGACAGGGGGATGAGCCTCTGCTGGATCCTGCTGCTGTATCTCTTTGTATTTGTACTTGCTTTGCCAAACTAGAAATGCAGAGAGTGGAACAGGGAATCTATTCTATTTCAGTTGATTTGACTAAATCTATTCTGTTTTGACAAGACTGATTTAGTCAGTGCTCCTCTCTCCCTCTTTCTGTCTCAGCATTGAGGCCTTTTTATTTGTTCATAATCAGATCTTATCACTCACTAGCACTGCTGTGCCTGGCTCACTTACAGCTGAACTTTAATCATTGTTACACTACTATTGATTTGACATGGTAAACAACCCCAGTCCTCTTTGATCAGCCTCCAGTGTGCGGTGACCTACTAAAGTGTAAGCTATATAAATTTGGATGCTTGAGGTATGTGTCCTCAGGGCATAGGAAGAGACAGCAGTGACGCATAAAGGGCTCTTTGTTGCATCAGCCAAATTCACAGGTGGAGACAACTAAAGAAATTATGTGTAAATAGTGTTAAATGTGCATGTCTTACTAAGTGTGTTGCACTTGTTTATTTGAGCAGAACCTGGAGGTTGGTTTTTGTGCTGGGCAGACTGCAGGAGGGTGGTCGCTCTGGCAGGGTACAGGGTGGGCAGCATAGAATAAAACTGGAGTCAAACTCCGAAAGAGGACATTTCTTTGAGAGTTAGTCACTGTGGGGAGAGGCTGGGCTCCCTTCCAGCTGGCCTGACAGCTCTATCAAGGAATGTGTGTGACCAGAGTTCTGGGTGGGGCTGTGTGCTGAGCTGTTCCCGCTGTAAGCAGAGCACAGAGGCAAAGCAGTATGATCCGCCTCATGGATTCTGCTTTACAGGACGTTTTTATTTGCTTTGTCCACTGTTGATGATCACTTCAAGAAATCTCAAGTCTTATTTGACCTCACATAAACTCATTTTGTTTTGGGCATCATTGATAAAGGCAGCTTTTTTAACACATCTCACCATTGGATAGGTACTTTGGAAAAATGTCCTTCAGTCAGCCCTGTACCTGAGTAACACCCATCATGGCAGCCTGACAAATGTGGTTCTGTAACAAAAGTATGTGCAAGAGAGTATACACAGCTGCTGTCTCCCTAGACAAACATAATGACAACCACGTACTAGCTGGCATTTATTTCAAGTGTGTCCCATCGACTTTAGTATAGGACCAGTTCAAAAAAAGCCGTCAACAACAATGCATTCTTAAGCAGAATTAGTCATTTTACAAGCTTTGCACCAGTGTTGCAGGTTTTGAGGAGCACATTCAGTCACTTTCTCTTAGTAGCTGCATTAAGTGTTTTAGGTCTTTAAAATCTGTCTGCTTAGAAATTGTCCCAGTCTCACAAATGCAGTTATTTGGCATAATTTTCACCAAAGTAATGAGCAATGTGATTTATTAAACGTGCCGCACTGGAGAGGGGGAGGTTAATTATGGGTTTGGACAGCCAGAAGAATTTTTCTGAAGGACATGTTCCCACTGGTAGATGCCTGTCTTTACACACATCAAGTCTGGTTCTGTTTCACTGGGGCTGACAAAGAGAAGGCTTTGTTTCACAACATGCTGGTGGGACAAAGCAATAATCCTTGAAAGTTCTGTGAGTTTTTGGGCTAGTTACAGTGAGTAAGACAGACTTTGCATTACATAACAGCAGTAAGAATCCAAACAGTGAATACAGTTCCATTTTACTGACTTATATGAATGCCCATTTCTACTGTTATACTAGAGTGGTTTAACAATTCACACCTTGGCAATACAGTCTTCTCTCACAGTCATCACTTGAGCAGTGAAACTACAGCAGAGGATTTCATAAGTATATTTTAAAAGAGCATTTTCTTTTCATATTCCTCTAGACCTGGATTTTGTTTTTGAACTCCATCAAACTGAAGGGGATTCTGGATAGATAGTGCATTAGTATGTCAGCGTATCTCCTCTTCTGTAGAAGTGAGAGCCACACCAAACAAGAACCTGGATTTAGTTAAAGGTGTGTGTTTTGCATAATTACATGCCAGGGTCAATACCGCTTCTACTGGTTGGTTATTTATTAAAACATCTTAAGACTTTGAAAGGTCTACTGTGCATCCATACAAAAAGGCCACGGTTAAATTCTGAATGTAGCCACAGTATACACTGGGTAGATTTCTGTGCCATGTGCCAGACCTCCTGATGCTGCAGTAACTTGTATGTGAGAAACAGGCTTTGTTATCTGTCAAACAAACATGAAATATGGTATGATACTACATAGGTGAGAACCATGATGAATTCAGGATAGGATTTATTTTGTATTTATTGATTTTGTTTGTAACGGTTTTTCCAAAGGACCCTTAGCAATTCATTTTTTAAAATGTTTTTAAAATATGATGTTATGTAAACTCTAATTTTTGTTTTTTGTTTATGTCAACAGAAGTCAAAAAAGAAGAACCACAGCATCAGACTGAAGCCTCTCGGCTTTGCTTGAGCAATCCGAGGTTAGTGTCCTTAGGTGTAATGCAAACGATCCTCGCACCACATCTGTTACCGGTTAAATAAAGCAAAGAAAACTAAATATCTCACTACCTGTCACTACACTGCAAGACCATCTTGTCAGTGTCATCTTAGAACAATGTCCTATTATGCAGCGAGACACCAAACCTCTGTTAGAATGTTTGTTGCAAAGTTTCCTTTGAACCTGGAAGGCCATGCTTCTGCCATTCAGCTGTGAAAGACCTGTCTTTTGGAAACCTGACACTTGGTTACTTCTGTTGCCTGTGCCACCTCTTGGCGCCCCTCTTTCCTCCCCCCGGTGACCACCTGTTCTGCTCAAACCCCTTTCCCCTTCTTATAAAACAACCTTGTCACATGCCTGCCCAGCTCACGCTACTTTAACTGTCTGTAGTCAGCATGTGTGGAAGGTTTATTCTTACGCAGAGGTGGCAAAGCCAGTAGCAGAAAAGCCAATACTAAACCTAAACCATATGCTGCCTATATAGCCCTATGGCAGGTTATAAGAGAGGCATATCCAGAAATGTTCTGTGGTTGCACTTTAGTTAACACACGCCCCCTGCTTGCTCAACACACACACCAAACTATAATAAAACATGATGGATAGATGAGCTTCTCTGTATCTCTCTAGCCTAAATTTCCTTCAAAGCTTTTTAACTATGCTTTATCAAATTTAAGGACATGTGACTTCAGGAATGTTGTTCTATGGCATGAAGGACAGAGAAATGAAAGGGAAAGCACAGAGGACTAGTTGGTTGTTGTTACAGACTGGCTGCCTGTCTTATGATCCCAAGAACAGAGGCTTATTTATTTAGCATCTGTTTACAACACAATCCAAATATATTCATATGATCTTCTTGGGGTCATCATTTGGATTAATCTTTGCTCTGTTTCAAACTAGTTTATGCTGTGTTAGGGCACATTCTAAACTTGTCTAAAGAGGGGTGTTCAGATACGTGAGAATAAGTTTACTAAAGAATGAAAAAGGACATGGACCCCCAGTGCACAGTGCAACTTCTATGGTGGCTCATTCCCGCTTGGCTGCCTTTTTCCTTTTTTACTGTTAAGTCATAGGCTAACATCCCACAGGCCTGTCTCACAACCATTTCTCTCTTGCTATCTTACTTTTCTTACTCATTTCCTCTTCTTACCATCTCCCTCTCACGCTCTGTTCCTTCTTCTCTCCTTTATTGCTGCAAGTCTCAGCTCCTCCCTACAGCTTGCTGCCAGAAATATGTCAAAGCTGTGAGAACAAAGATAGTTGACTCGATCATAGAGCAAGAGTAAAATACAGGAGGAGGAAAGAAGTGGTTATATTTGAAAATAGACAGACTGATCGGGAGGGAATGCAAAGAGAGTAGTAGAATTGTTTCCTGAGGTTATTCCTTTCAGTGAGAAATGGAGAAATAAGAAAACAGTTTCCTCTCCCTTGCTCTTGATCTGAGATTTTTGTGAACACATGAATGTTGCCTTCCCTTTCCATCTGTACGTTTTTTTTTTTCTAAAAGCTTAACCCAGCCAACAATAATATGTGACGTGTCTGAGAGTTAAAACGTTTAACATTTGCTGGCCTCTTGTCAAACATTCTGTGCAATAAGCACTAAGAAGCATGTGGAAACCCAGATCATGTGGGAAAAAATCATCAGCTATTTTTATGTTTTCATTGACTCAATGAAGACAGAAGGTGGCTGTGTAAAATGAGCTGCACTGAGGCCTATGGGGAAAACACACCTTCTTTAGGCTCAGCACAAATATTTTGAGATGGGGATTAGAAGAGCTTGGTTAATATATTGTAACTGGTACTGTTGGGTGACCTGAGAGGAATTTGATCTACATAAGTGCAGCAGCTAAAACTGGGTTTTTGATATTGCAAACTGCCTTCTTTGTCCCCTCCATACTCAGTTCAACTCTATTTGATAAAAATATATTGTAATGTTGCAGATATTATAAGGCTTTAGGTCTTGATATGTTCATGCTTCAAGGCACAATAAGGTAGAAAGAGGGACGTGAAGGGGGGGTGGGGGTGGGGAAATCAGGTTGTAGATGTCTGTCAGTGGTTGGCGTCATCTTTCTCAGGTATCAGTGTCAGCAGCCCTGATCCTTGCTGCACAGCCCCGAGAGTCTGCAAAAAGTTATTCAAGAGAGAAGACTTAGTGTCTCAAAGCACTGAATGTATTTTCCAGTATTCCCAACCATGGAGGACCAGTCTGTTTATTGGCTTGAGTTATTTGGTGCATCGCTTGTTATGTGTTATGAGCAAACAAGGACAGATAGTTTACAAATCACTTGACTCATCACTTGACTCTCCAAACTGTCAATTTATTAATGCTTTTTTTAAACACCCTTCTCTTTACAGTGTTGCTGCTCTATTAAGTTTAGTTTAATCACCATTAGTCTTGACTGTTCTGATTTTGATGTTTCTTCAGAAATTTGGATGTTTGTTAATTGCAGCGTGATGTTTGATAATTGAATGTGCAGGTGTTCAGGCAGAGGGAAAAAATTGATGCATACTCATTAATGATGTATGCATGCACCCCCTAGATTTGCAACATATTGTTATAGAACAAAACCTGTGAGACATCACTGTCTTCTTCAGTCCTTATTTGTTTAAAATACTGTATATTGGCAGTGTGATAAGAGTAGCTGTTGGCTGTTGAGCGAATGATCCATGTTACTGATCCTTGTAAAACAGCTTGTTCTTTATCTTCGCCTCAGGTACCTCCTGTTCCCAGCAGTTTGCTGTCTTATAGAACAACATGGCAGCTTCAGTGAATGGGGACGGATTTGTGGCTGGTGTAATTAGGTTATTTACTATAAAGTAGTGCAAACTATATGGCAGAAATGTTTGTGTGCTTTTAAGTAATTGAATCTCAGATTGAACATTTTCAGCTATTTGTACAAAAAACAAGGCAAAACTTAGTTTTCTTAAAATACTATTTATACAGACATTAAATGGATGTTTATGGACAAATGGAAATCTAGCTTTGCAACTAGAATCTCAGCGATGCATTGTTCCTCGCACCTGAGCTCTTAAAGATAGGGCTGGCAATCCTGGAAAAACCAGGAAGAGGAAGTTTGATTTTGAAAACAGACAACTAAAGAAATCCCACCCTTTTGTTCTGACATCCCTCCAAAGCCACTCCCCCAAAACAATGCGCACTGCAACTCACACTACCTGACTACTACTTACAGATTTCAGGAAAATAACAAATACCCCCCAAACAAAACAAAGCCTATACAGCTGACCTGTCCAGTGGAAATACAGCCACCGTGGCATCACTTTTCAGCTCCTTTTGGTCTCAGTTGTCACCATCTTTTAAAAGTCACACCAATGTTAATTCTGGTTTATTTCTTGCAGCATCCAACTTATTTTTAGTTGTAACTTTCTCGAATATGATGTTACCTGCCCAGATCTGTGACCCAGAACCATAGTTGGGGACCTCTGGTTCATGGCTAAACTGCTTTAGCCCTGGCTCATAGTTGGTAACTAGCCTTAGAGGTCCAGGCTTTTCTGGTGGGGAAGTGAAGAAAGAGGCCAGCCAACTTCATTCAAAACACAGGCTTTATTCTGTCTAGGTAACACGAACACTGCATGTGGACTTTGATGCTCAGTTAACTGCATTACAATTCATCTATACACTTAGAGCTGACTACTGTTGGTATTTTCCCCACCCATGGCTGCATGTAAAAGGAGTCTGTCCCCTGAGGTGGTCTTCTCATTCCGATGGGGCACACATTTCACAACTTCTGACAACAACAGCAAGCATTACCTACTGTATAAGGCTGTACGTCTTAAAGGGGAAAGCCTGGCCTATAACAATGGTCTTCCACCATGACTCATATCCTGTTTCTTTTTTGCCATCCCGTAGAGAGAGTATTGCCATTTTGTGATTACATGCACATAGACTACTGAAACTTTCTAAATGGTAGCACAGTTTGTGGCACGCTGCACCAAGCAGCAGCAGAATGGTACTCTCAATGAATTGTGGTAATTCAGCTTTTTCACTGCATCATGGTGCAGTATCATTCTGTAAATAAAAGTTTTGGTACTGTCAAATATTGACTGGTTACTGTTGGCATGATCAACTTAAGCAATGACAGCACAGCTTCATGAGTGACTTTGGCATTTTGAATGAAACAATTTACAATAGTCTATTTTGCTTTGGATAATGGACATTTTTTCTTATACAGTTCTGCTAATACTGGGGGTCATTAGGCTCAGTAAGCCTTCTGCACACTGAGCTGTTGGTTCATGTACTGAATCATTAAATAGCTGGGCAGCTCTAGTATAGGTGATAGAAAGGGTAGTCTGTTAATGCAAAGGTTGGTTGGTTTGGTTCCATGTGTCTTTGTGTACACACACTGTCTTAGAACAAGGCATGAAACATCAAATTGATGATGTGTATGTATGCAGGAGAAAATGGACAAAATATGTGCCAAAGAAACACAATGTAAAACATGCAAAGCATTGGAGGCTACATACGGTAGATACACATAACTCAGACAGCTTGTGCAACTTAAGGGGTGGGTTTTGGAGCGTTTGGTATTAATGAAACAATGGATTGTCTGTTCCAAAAAGGAGTGGATAGGACTACTCAGCATGTTTAAAGAGACAGGTCTGAGGTCTATTATTGCCGTGTTGGTTGATAGACAGTTATATAAATGTTAAAAATGCCAGTAAATTTGATTGATATGATCGAACAGAAATAAGATGAATTGTTGCATCATTGTTTGCTTATTTAAAAGGTTTCTATGTCATGGCTAGCAACATTTAGTAAAGTCTAATGACCATACCCAAATGTAACATACAGTATGTGTGCTTTTATAAATTTCAGAGTGCATCTTAAAAGTGAGTGATCAACTTTGTGATGCAGTAGTAGACATGAGTACCATTACAACAACTATGTGGTCAGCCTAGATAGAAACTGACATGTAGTGGTCATTAATAAACAGAATGAGAACTGTGATGTGCATTCCATGTGTACTTGCTTTGACAAACTGTAACTGTTTGTAGGTGTGCATGTCTGTTATTGAGAGAAGGGTGTGTGCTAAGATGTTGATTTACAACAGTATGGTTTTACTGTGCATTTCTGCACCTCTGTGGGTTTCTTTAAAGCAAGGCAGCTTCAACCTTCAACCGTCATTGTTCTCTGTTGACATTGGAGCTGGAGTGTATGTGCAGTATTGAGCTGCCTTCCTCAGGGCAGGGTGTGGTTTGTCCAAAACACAGAACACTTACTGTATGAGGGAGGGTGCTGAAGGTTTGGTCTTGTGGAGAGTGGTAGAGGGTGTCCTGTCTTACAGGGCTTTAACACCATCTAGTGTTCACCATGGGATCCTACAATTCACACTTGCAGAGCAGGATTGTTGTTAATGATAAAAGAAAAACATTTTGCCTGGAATAGAATACTTTGTGAACATAAAGTGATGTTTTGTTGTTTGTCATTATTTTCTCTTAAAGACTGTCATTGTGTTTTCTTTATATAGGAAAACCAAAATAGTTTCCATCACACCAGGGCCTAAGTAGAGGAAGGCAAAAACAAGGTATTTTATTAAATTAAACTCACAGTAAATTCCTTGTATTTTCTATATTCTTTCTTGTGTAGTGTGTACCTAGATGCAAATTCAGAAGTTATTGCCAGATAACTTTTTCCTCCTGTTTTTTGAACCCATCGCCTCAATGGTTTTGTTTACAGATGGCTGAAGAGGAAGAAACCAGGGAGGTCCTCTTTCCAGATTGGGAGGGTCCAGACAAAACTGGCTTGACTATTGAACAGAAAAGTGGGGGAGAGATCTTTGTTAAGGAAGTAAAAGGAGAGTCACCTGCAGCACGGTCTGGAAAAGTATATGAAGGTAGCAAATCCCTTTTTTTTTCTCTAATCAGTGTCTGTCATCATGTATGAAGGTTTGACTCACTACATGCTGATTAATCTCTCATATTTTTAACAGACCCTTTGCTGCTGTCTTTATTTACTTAATTAATAGGTGACCAGATTGTGGGTGCCACTATCTACTTTGATAACATGAGCTCAGAAGAAACAGCTGAGCTACTGAAGACACTAAACCGCCACAAGGTTGGACTGAAACTACAAAATAAAGGAGAAAAATCCCCTTACTGTTCTCCTTCGAGCACACCGTGTCGTTCACCAATAGGCACAACGACCCGGTTTGGAGGTTCCAGTCCAGACATTATCCTTGTAAGTTTTTATGATGACTGATTTGTTTGTCGAGAAACTACTGAATGATATACATAGTATAATGGCATTTACATATTGTATGCCTTCTTGTCTTTTTCTATATACAGAGTGGGGATGATGAGGACTACAGGAGAATATATACAAAAAAGATTAAACCAAGGCTGAAATCTGAAGACCTTGCAGAGGGAGTAGACGTTCGCACAGAGCGCCACAGCAGCACAAGCAGTGATGGCAGCACAATTACTACCATCACCCGCCGCATTACTACCTACACTGTGGATGTGCCAAGTGGCATAAGTGAGCAACTCGAACTTTCAAGCCCAGAGTTCAAGGGGCTAAGGCATGAAACTGGAGATGCCTCTTCTCATATCAGAATCTCGCATGGCAGCCCTTCAGGTAAAGAGGGAGCAGAAGAGGGAGTTTTTGAGTCAAGCAATATCTCCTACACTGGGCCACATGTTAGCTCCACAGAGACACAAAGGGGCAGTACAGGTTTTAAGACCACAACAACAACAACAACAACAAGAGAGGTAGCAAAAGAAAGAGGTACAGGTCTCAAATTCAAAGAGCCTAACCTTGGAGTAACAGGGGGTAAAGGCCAGACAGGCCTTGAAATCTCAAGAGGGAATGGAGAGCAGGAAGACGGGAAGTTTCAGGTGTCAGAAACAAGCATGATGTTAAGAGACAGCACACACGCTGCTGGTAAGCAAGTTAAAATAGGAGGGTTTGGAGTTACAGAGGAGAGAAGTGATGACACCAGATTAGGTGACAGAACTAAGGTTAAAGTATCCGAATTTACCATCAGTCATCCGCAGGCAAAAGGATCAGGCAGTGTCAATATTTCAAATGTCAGACTTGGTGGAGGTTTCATAGATATTGATACTGAATTGAGAGGTGGCAGGACAGGAGGTTCAGTTATAGCAGTAGGCAGTGAGACATCAGGGCATGCCCCAGGACTAGATAAGACTTCAATGACAGGGGTGGATGTCAACCTTACAAGTTCAAAATTGAAAGGTGAGGTTGATGCCAACCTGCCAGACACAAAGGGAGAAATAAAGGTATCTGAAATAGATACTGATATTCCAGGCTATGAGACTGAAGGCACTGTGAGTGGTATAAAAATATCAACAACTGAGATACCTGGAAACGTTAAAGGTCCAGAGGTAAATATTGAAGGGGGAAAATGGGATTCCAGAATGCCTCAGATAAAAATACCATCATATGGGGGCAAAGCTCCTGAGGTTTCTATCACAGGCCCTGATATTTATGTTGAGGGCTCCAAAAGTGAAATTAAAATTCCTAAAGTTAAAATGCCATCATTTGGCATAAACATTCCAAATGTAGAAGGCCCAGATGCTGATATAAACCTTACCAAAGAAAACATGAAAGGGCCTAATGTTGACATCAAACTACCAAAACCTGACACCGAAGGGATGAAGAAAAAATCGAAGGGACCCCAAATCAACATGCCAACTATTTCAGGACCAAACATTTCCATTTCAGATGTGGATGTCAACCTGAAAGCACCAAAAGTCAAAGGTGACATGGATATGTCTCAACAAATTGAAGGAGACATTAAACCAGCTGAAGTTGACATCAAAGGTCCGGACACTGATATCCAGATGCATGAGGGTGGAATTGAAATTCCAAAAATCAAAATACCAAAATTTGGCATAAAGCCTTCAGAGACTAAGGGTCCGGATGTTGATGTAAAACTTCCCAAGGGTAGCATTGATGTTAAGGCACCTGAAGTTGACATCCACGGACCAGAGCTTGATGTTAAAGGTCCAGATGCAAAACTCAAAGGATCCAAATTCCAAATGCCAACAGTGTCAGGACCCAAACTGCCAGACTGGGATATTACTCTGAAAGGGCCCAAAATTAAGGGAGATGCTGATGTGTCAGTTCCAAAGATTGAGGGTGAAATCCATTCTCCCAAGCTTGACATTGAAGGACCAGATGTTAATATTGAGGGCTCCAAAGGAAAATTTAAAATGCCTGAATTTCATATGGCACCTTCTGGAGAAAAATGCGCAAAACTGGAGGGACCAAACATTGATGTCAGTCTTCCAAAACCGGATATTGACCTCAAAGCCCCTGAAGTGGATATCAAAGGACCACATGTTGACATTGAAAGTCCAAGTGGTAAAATGAAAGGACCCAAAATTAGCATGCCCACCATTTCAGGACCATCTTTTTCACTTCCAGAAGTAGATTTCAATATGAAAGCTCCAAAAATCAAAGGTGAAGTGGACATGTCCATTCCAAAGATTAAGGGAGACATTAAAACACCCGATCTTGACATCAAAGGTCCAGAGGTCGACATCCATGGGCCTAAGGGTGGAATTCAAATGCCTAAAATCCAAATGCCATCACTTGACATCAATGTCCCAAAACTGGAGGGTCCAGATGTTGATATAAAACTTCCCAAGGGTGGCATTGATGTTAAGGCACCTAAAGTTGGCATTAAGGGACCAGAAATTGATGTTGAAGGTCCTGATGCAAAACTCAAAGGACCCAAATTCCAAATGCCCAGCATTTCAGGACCCAAGCTGCCTGACTGGGATATTAATCTGAAAGGGCCCAAAATTAAGGGAGATGCTGATGTGTCAGTTCCAAAGATTGAGGGTGAAATCCAGTCTCCCAAGCTTGACATTGAAGGACCAGATGTTAATATCGATGGGTCCAAAGGAGGATTTAAAATGCCTAAATTTAAAATGCCACATTTTGGAGGAAAAGGTGCAAAACTGGAGGGACCAGACATTGATGTCAGTCTTCCAAAACCGGATATTGACCTCAAAGCCCCTGAAGTGGATATCAAAGGACCACATGTTGACATTGAAAGTCCAAGTGGTAAAATGAAAGGACCCAAAATTAGCATGCCCACCATTTCAGGACCATCTTTTTCACTTCCAGAAGTAGATTTCAATATGAAAGCTCCAAAAATCAAAGGTGAAGTGGACATGTCCATTCCAAAGATTAAGGGAGACATTAAAACACCCGATCTTGACATCAAAGGTCCAGAGGTCGACATCCATGGGCCTAAGGGTGGAATTCAAATGCCTAAAATCCAAATGCCATCACTTGACATCAATGTCCCAAAACTGGAGGGTCCAGATGTTGATATAAAACTTCCCAAGGGTGGCATTGATGTTAAGGCACCTAAAGTTGGCATTAAGGGACCAGAAATTGATGTTGAAGGTCCTGATGCAAAACTCAAAGGACCCAAATTCCAAATGCCCAGCATTTCAGGACCCAA